GTTCACATGAAACAACTTATTTATTCTAATGGAAATATTATGTCCAGTTGTTGTGTTGATTAATGCAAGGACTATAAGTCAAGTACCTGAATCTAACTCGTTTGAAGATCTTTACACCATTGTTGTGATAATCATATGTGATATAGACTCCGGGTTCGAATTGCTCGGTAATTTCTTTTCCACCTCCGATTGCCGAAGCCTCCGATGATATCGATGCGTTCATGTTACCTTCCATAGGTGAAGACCCTGAATTTGCAGTCGAAGAAGAAGCTTCGGATATCTCGGGTCGGTTTAAGAAGGCCTCGGCTCGAGTTTGCACAGCCTTAAAGGTTTCACTTTCAGAAACTTCAGGAGGTAACTTCTCTTTTGTTTCCATCAACTGTTGAACCATTTTGACTTGTGTAATCAGAGGTTTATATCCAATGGCAAAATGAAATGTTGAGTGAACTAAAATGTACCTGATCTGTGATGAATTTCACAAGTGCCTCGGCTTCTTGAGACTTGGATGATTCTTTTGCAGCAAATGAAGTGGATTGTTGAGCGAATTTTTGTAATTTCGGAATCTCGGCATCTTGCGAATCGGATTTCTGCTTCATACTTTTGATCTGAAATCGATCGAAAGTAGAGAAAACAGAATTATTTTTCATGGTATGATGCACATGAACACAATGGAATAGCAAAAGGGTATGTCACAAGTACTTGATTTTGCAATTTGGCAATTTCTTGGTTCAAAAGATCATTTGATTTCCTGAGGCTTTCGATAACGTTCTTCGAGAAGGGAGTAGCGGAAGGGCACGGAGGGCTTGGTCTCCTTGAGTATGGTGAACTGGATCTCGAGTTGATAGGGGAAAGATGTGATGGTGACATTGGAGGAGAAAGAGCACTGGGTTTGAAAACACTTTGAATAGCAGTGAGGGAACTTGGAAATGCAATATCTTTAAGCTGTGAAAGCGATGGAACTTGTGAAGCTCGGACTAGTGACGTCGAACTGAATTTTGTCCCGGGTTTTCCCGACCTGATCTCGCAGTATTTGACCGGTTCTGTTTTGGGATATAGCAAGAGTCTAGAAGGCCTTATTTCGATCCTACTTGATCTTTCCCTACCATCTATCGAGGAGTGGGGGCCGATCAGTTTTCGACTAGCATTTGAAGTATTACCAGATTCTGCAGCTTTAAGTTTCGCATAGCAAGAATCGCAAACACGGTGCGGTTTTCCTGGTGTCGGAGCCAATGCTGCTTTCATTGCTTTCTTGGAACTGCAAGCATGGCAATGCACCATCCCACAGTTATAACAATTATGTCTCTTTCTAGTAAAGCTGAATGCTTGCCGGCAGCCAGAGCAAGCCGACTGGTCGATACCGGCGGTCCATTTATGGATGCATATAGTGCAAGTGAAATTCGAGCCACATGATATATTCTTGACATGCTTATCCCTCAATGCTTCAATCAATGTTGGAGTTTTTCTGTTTTCCATGTCACCATGTCCCAGTCTACCATTGTCACCTCTTCCCCAAGTGAATACTTCGCTTCTCGATGTCAAGACGCCGACATGATATGCCCCACATGAAATTTCTTCGACAAATTCACCTACCAGTTTTTCTTGCACCAGACATGGCAGCTTTCCATCGGAGCTCGGGTTGCCTAGTTGACCATATGCAGTGCCACCCATGGTAAAGACATGCCCCGATGTAGTAAGCGCGACAGTTATGTTTTGCCCGCAAGCTATCTGGTGGAAACTGTAATCGATTAGTGATGAGACACAGGCCGGAAGTAGATAAGTGTCCTTACTTCCATGGCCTAATCGGTGTTTGTCACCATCGCCCCAGGTGAACAACTTTCTTGATGATAATTTAGCACCAGTCTGGCCCATAACCTCTACAATGGCAGCGGTATGCCATACACCACAGGCGACTTTAACAGTCCTTAGTCCATTCAACATTTGAACTTGCTTCGGATATGTAACATTTTCTCGATCTCCATGCCCCAAAACACCGAATCTTCCATCACCAAACGTAAATAGCTTCCCGTCAGTAGTTGCGAGAGCTGAATGCCATGTGCCACATGCAATCGATAAGACTTGCAGACCTTCTAATGCACCCGAAACTCTTCTCGGAATCCAGTGGCTCACGTCCGTGCCATGACCGAGGATTCCAGCGTTATGAGTACCATCACCCCAAGAGAATAAATCACCGCAAGCGGATACAACACATGTATGATACTCTCCAGATGCAACGAATTCTACATTAGTTAGCGCCAGGAACTCGACTAACCGGGGACGACTAAAGTCTTTTTCAGTTCCATGACCGAGTCTCCCACAAGTTTCCTCACCCCAAGTGAAAACTTCACCTTGCTTTGTCAAAAGAGCAACGTGCCTTGCCCCACAAGCTATCTGAAGAACATCAAGTACTACATTCGATTCTAATGGCTTCGGAGTTAGCACATCGACTTTTGCAGGGACTGAGCTTGCGGATCCATCCGGCATAAGTCCATCAGACCAAACCGCTCCCCATACATAAAGCTCACCTAATGATTCTATATCATCTGGACCTGCAGATCCACTGCTAGCACAGCTAGGTGAGCTCGAAACACTAATTCGGAAACCATCTCCACCATTAGATCTCAGCTGCATATTTGCCAGTTCTGACCCCACATCTGAGCCTCTGAAATCTATAGGCCCCTTGCCAGAAGCAACACTATTGGTGAACTCTAGAGCTAGTTGGCTGTTTCTAAAGAAATATCCTTCTTGGAGCTGTCATAAAGACACCGAATTTAGCAAGTGAAATATCCTTGAGCCATGTATATGCAGAAAAGTGAACTCACATCGCTTAGATCACAATCAGTTAGCTTATTACGACTCGGTCCGATCAAAGCCTTGAGCCCTGTTATCCACACTTCTGCCTCAACTTTATCCTTGCAGATCTATATAGGTAAGCAATTGTATCACTGGACTGGTAAATACCGAAATTTGCCATTCAACCGGACAAGAATGAATAGCATAATAACCGATACGAACCAGGTCGAGAGATCTGTTGCCGTTATTATATATAAGCGAAAATGACAAGTAGTCCTTCTCCGGGCGCAAATATCTTCTAAAAACAGCCTGCAGAAGTTGGCAAAATAACTAAACCGTAACTTATGAGGTTACCCAACAAAACAAAAGGCTGAACTCGACTCGAACTCACAGTTCGTTGTCCGAGACTGACACGAGACACCAAGCTTAATTTCAGAGTCTTCTCTTCTCCACGTGATAACCATATCAATGTTGTTTCATCCTGTTTTAACGAAGCTAAAATTGAAATCATACGAGCATTTAAACTTTGCCATGGCAACAACAATCAACATGATGTTATAGATTTATAGTCGTTATTCTATAGTTTTGAGACCGGAATTTAAACCCGATGATCATCGGTAATGCTAACCAGTACGCACGGGCAATGTTCGATTCGATCCGAGCGAAAGAATACATTGAAATGGAACATATTCTGAAGATTTAGAACATGAGGAACTCACCGGAGAGAGTCTAAATGCACGAAACTTGGGCTTTCCTTTACGGCTATACTTGATAAGTTGAGTGCCCTTTTTCAAAACAACAAGTGCCTACAAATATATAAACACAAAGGGAGTTCATGATAATAATATCTAATCGAACTACGATTCGAATATTGACGTTGTGAATTATTTTCGTAATTACTTGCTCAATGTCACGCTCGGAATTGCCATAATGAACAAGATCTGCCATTCCATTTAAGAAAGTTGAGAGGGAACCACTCAAGCATCAGGCGATGAAAGCTCGACTCCACAATCTCCATAGATTCATATGATTGATGATCGGCTAAAACAATGAAAGAAAACCCCGAACCTGTGTTTTTGGGATCAAATAAAAGGAAACCCAGAGTTCCAAATTCAAAAAGGAAAAAAGGGTTGTGATTTGTTTCTGCAAAAGGGAATGAGGGAGTGAGAGAGAAGAGGCGAAATGGGAGGAACTGTAATTTCCACCTTCAACTTTCAACCAATTTAACTTCCTTTCAAAATTTCTATTTCATTGACACATGGCCGAGTATGATTGTGTTGTTTGCTGATAAATTAATGGAAAATCATATTTTATTTCTGTGTTCTTGATTGTTTTATTCTATCAAGATAATTAATGAATTCCATGAAAGGTTCATGTGTCACCTGAAAGCAACACACTGGAACTTTGTTTCTACTTATTACTGTTAACTCTATATTCATCCATAATCTTCTAGAATTGTTATTTAGACCAAATTATCTCGTTGGTTAAAAGAGTAATTGTTATGATGATTCCGGATTTGTTTAATTCGATAATATCACAAAAAATAATTAAATTGATGAATAATTAAAATGTGAGATTATTTTTTTAATTATTTAAAATAAAGATAAAATTAATATAATATATAAATTTTAAAAATTAAATTTTTTTGTTATACCAAATCACTTTAAACTTGTTACAAGAAGTGATTTATTTATAATTAAGTGATTAAATTATACTATTTAGAAAAAGTGACCCGATTATAATCAACTTAATAACTGAGTAGTCGGGGTCTATTTTACCCAAATATTTAATATCTAAAATAGAGTAAATTATAAGTTTAATATCTAAACTATTAGTTTTAATCTATTTTAGTATCTAAACTTTTAAATTTTTCAAAATCATACCTAAAGTGTATTTTTTTCATTTTAGTACCCCTGTTAAAAAATTAACGTTAAAATTTGATTTTTTTAAATTTAGGCACAAAAATGGACCAAAATTAATAGTTTAGGTACTAAATTCATTAAGTTTTAATGGTGGGTACTAAAATAAAATAAAAACTAAATATGATGTATGATTTTGAAATATTTAAAAGTTTGAATACTAAAACGGAGTAAAACTAATAGTTTAAGTTCTAAATGCGTAGTTTACCGTTTAAAATATCCACTTTAGCAATGCAGGATGACTACGGTGTCATTGTCAAAGAAAAGAATTGGGAGGCCACGCCACTCTTTTCATCCTCTCAAAGCACGATTTTTTCCCATTGTAATCTGAAAAAAAATCATTTCTTTAAAACTCTCAAAACAGTTTCTTTCTGGTGGCTGCTTATTTTCACTTGCATTTTCTTTTCTCTTCGTCCCCATTTCCCCTTTCTCCAACTTCCGGCGGCCATGTCTTTCAGAGGAGTAAGTTTCTCTTTCTTATGACTCTTTTAGATCTGATCTTGTTTGGGTTCTTTTTATTGTCTTTGTTTTAGCTTAAAGTTACTTCATTTCTTATTTATGTATGTATTTTGGTGCGATTGAATCTGCCATGACTAGTTATGTCTTAGCTTTGTTCTAGTAAAGTTATCTCTACAACGATAGATTTGATTTTGCACTAAAAATAAGTCTTCTTTTTGCATCTTCATCCCAATTGTAATGGTAGCTGGATTAGGGTTTTGAAGTGTTATTTATTGGTTTGTTTACTTATGAACTTGAAATTGTATTTACATTGCATTATCCGAGTTGGAAATTAAGGATTGTGTTGGACAATGTTGTTTTGTGTCCTTGCACATTTGACCTTCTTAAAATTTGTGAAGCTTTTGTGCTCGAATCACTCGCCTTTTGCATCTTGGACCTGTTCTTGTAGAGTTCGTTGAATCGAGTTTACTTTCTTTTCGGAAAATTATTTTTTGTATTGAAATTGGAGTAAGCATTAAAGATTTAGCATTTGTTTCTGGTTTTTAGGCGAACGCGTCATCCGGAATGGGGGTGTCTGAACACAGCAAGAGCACGTACCTGGAGCTGCAGAGGAAGAAGGTGTTCCGATACGTGATATTTAAGATCGACGAGAACAGAAAGGAGGTTGTAGTTGAAAAGACTGGTGGTCCATCCGAGGGCTATGATGATTTCACCGACTCATTGCCTGAGGCTGATTGCCGCTACGCGGTTTTTGACTTCGATTTCGTGACTTCCGAGAACTGCCAGAAGAGCAAGATCTTCTTTATTGCATGGTCAGTGTCCCTTTCCGTTGCGGAATAGTTTGATTCTGTGGAAAATCATTTGCTGCATTTGCATTGTAACTCGGTGAGTCTAATTTGATTGTGACACATCTTTCTCCATGATTGGAACGCTGCTATTATCCCCATTGTGTTGTGCAACTTGATTGAAAGGGGAAGTGATTATGGCTCGAACGATTATAATCCCTATTCCACATATTTTAATCGCTTTATTGTTTGCAAATGATATTTTGTTTGTAAATTCATTGAAGTGGTGGTGGCTTGTAGAGTAGCATAACCGAAGAATGTCGTGTGTGATTACACGATGCTTTATCATCGGTCCTGCTTATCTGATCGAATATCGAGTCAATTATATCTGCGTTGGTTTTCTCTTTAAGGTTCAGTAAGCCAATGTTGTCTGAATCTGCAAATAGGTTGCAGAAAAATCGTGAAACAAGTTTTCTTTTCGTGCCATTGACAGTTGATGTTCTCTATATACAAGGCTGACTCAATGTTATCATGTAGGTCTCCTTCTGTTTCGAGGATCCGTTCCAAGATGCTCTACGCGACATCCAAGGATAGGTTCAGAAGGGAACTGCAGGGCATTCATTATGAAATCCAGGCAACTGACCCCACCGAGATGGATCTCGAGGTGATCAGGGAGCGTGTACGTTAAGTGTCAAACCCCATCACTGATTTCGCTTGCTTAGAAAACTCCCATGCTTAAGTTGGTTACTAAGTGTAGCTATCTATCAGTATCACAATACACAGATATTATCGTTGTTAAAATAAAACCTGAGAAGGCTGATTTCAAGCTCCGGGGTTCGGAACTTTGGGCTCCTCATTGCCGTGATGCTTCTCAGGTGAAAATGGGCGTGTTATTAGGAGATATTTGAAGAATTATTCGGTATCTATGTAGTTTCGATCTTTCATTTTGTGTCCCTTGCATGAATACATTTATAAAGATATGATCTTTTAAGTACTCGAATAAACTCGGAGATCAAGTCCGAGTAACAGAGCCGGCAACCGTCCTGAAAATGACGGGATGCCTTGAAAGTCCACAAAGATGGCATAAAAGTCGCCGAGTTTTAGGTGGTGAAGTTAACCTCTGGCTAGCCTTTGGGATGAGTTTGATCATCCTTGACTTATCAATGGCATTTGAAAAGGGGATAATGATTAGGTCAAATTTTGCTAAAAGTCCCTGTGGTATGTGTAAGTTATGCATTTAGTTATTTGTAGTCCTTGTACCTTTTCAATTAAAATTAGCTATTTGCTCCCGTATTAAGTTTAAGAAATTTGCGTTATGCGCTTCAAAGTTGCCGGTTGCGACACTCGATATCAACTCGGTCAACGCTCAATAAATACTCGACTTGAGTGGACTTGAGCTCGAGCTCTACCAGAGTTCTTAACGAGCAGAAATGAGCTACTTGATACTTAACTCGAAAAGCTCGCGAACAACTCAAATAAAATTATATATTAAAATTTATTTTAAAAAAAAATTAAAGTATTAATAATACTAACATTTATGTGTTTATTTTTTAAAAAAATTGTAGTAGAAGATTTTAATGCACTTAAGGTGCATGTTCGAGTTTGATCTTCAACTAAGTTAAGTTCAATTATTTTTATTTTGAGCTCTGACAAGCTTTTTCGAGTTTCAATTCATGATTTTGAGTTCGAGTCGAGCTTAAAGATTTTAAGCTCGAGAGTTTTCGAGCCGAGTTGAGCTCAACAATACTCGAGCTCGACTCGGCTCGTTTACAGCCCTAGGCCTGATGATATAGTATAAACGGAGAGTCGATCTAAAAAATACAACTCACACGGTTCTGGGATGAGATTTTATCATATCCCACATAACATGTCAACGCCCAGCTTAGAAGATCCTCAAAATTTTTAATGTAAAAGGACGAGTTTGGAATATATGAATAGTCGAGTGATCATTTTGTTAATTTTAATAGCCAGAGGACTTAACAAAACAATACCTTATAAATGATCATTTTGTAACATTTAATAGTCAATGGACTCAACAAAGCAATGCCCTATAGTCGAGGAGCTATTTATATAATTTACCCAAAATTTAATTACTCTTTTACCCAAAATTTAGTTACTCTTTTTTAAAATAACTCAAATTTGAACTTTACTTAAATGTCACATTTATCTCAACTAAAAACATAGTATTAATATAAACTATCAATTAATCTAACAGAACGTGAAGTTAAATTCCAAGTAAGATTATGGTTGAAATACTAAGGTTGTGAATGAAATAAATTGGATTGAAAGAATATTATATCTTAATTATTCGATCAATGCATTCAATAATAGAAGGGCACTTTGATTAATAGTAAAAAAGAAAATTCAATAAGACTTTAACTATTTTAAATGTACAAATTTCAATCTCACCATGCCTAGATATTTAAGGGCACTTTGACCTTGGGCGACCTTTAAAATCTCAATTTGTGGCACAGGCGTGTCCTATGGATTATCAAAGAAGCAAGTTCCAAAATACAAGGGAAAATGTGGAGTTGAATACATGTGTGATCAAGACAAGGCTTCAACGCCTTTCATCCATTATAAGAGGGAACCAACTGAACCAATTTCCTTGCACCGCAAGAAACACCAATGATCTTAAAGATGTCTAAACCTTGCTTGCACTTGTTTCTCCTCCGGATGACGATCGTTTTCGTAGCCCAAGCATCCCGGGCCGATAAACCACCGACTCCGTTTCACAGTGAGAAAGCTTTGAAACAAAACCCCATCCCGCTGCATGATCATAATATGAGGCACCTTCTACAAGGGGAAGTTGAAGAAGATAGTCTGTTTGCTAGTGAAAAGGCATCTGGTAATGAGGGGTAGAAACCGGGAAAATTGTCGAGAGACGACTCTGAAGAAGAGAGGGAGGTGAAAAATTGTCGGATGACGAGGGAGAGAAACCCGGAAAACTTATAAGAGACAACGTCGGTGAGAAACCACGAGAAAATAAAGGAAAAAACCGGGAGAGATGGTAAGAAGTCTATTGGCGAGTCCACCATCGACGAGTCCATTCGCCCATATGATAAAACCCTCCAAAGGTAGGGTATTCAAACCATCGGAACTACAAAAGGTCGACGGCCACAGACCGTCGGAGTTGTTCTACGTCCAGAAGCAACAAGATCGAGTGCCGCTAATCATGCGGCACCGTAAGATTCCGCCCCGAAGCCTTCTAGCGCTACTCAAACCACATAAGCAACCAAATTTTCAAGACGTTATCAGACGAGAAGGCAAGCCTCCACATGAGCACAACCCAGGCTATGAACATCAGCCATAATCATCATTCTCCATCAAGTACATGCATGGCAATTAAGTGCCAAAATTTAGAAGATCATCAACAAAATATATATAGTTAGTTTAGTGTACAAAATAAGTCGGCACGTGTCATGATGATGTTTTATTCATGGCATGGACGCCATTAGCATGGGTTTTATGCAGATCATGTAATATGTATGTTAAAAGTTGAGATGCAAGGAACTATTCTATTAGCCCTACACATTATTTGGAAATTATGTATTAATTATCCCAATGACGTTAAGTGAACTCAGACGATGATATAAAACAATGTTTAGTGTTGGTATTATTCAGAATATTCTTTTGTTTTAATTTATATTTCATCATTGTCCACGTGATGAAAAGAAAAAGATGTTGAGATATATGCAAAGCAACCGGAATCAAAGGTGACAACTAGTTTTTGAGTATCTTGAACATAGTGAAGTATATACGCTTTAATAATAGAATTGCATAACGTTGTAAAAGATGTTAGGTTTAATTCAAATGTAATTTTAGTATTTTGAGACAAAATAATCTCTGATTAAATGAAAAATGTTAATTGATTAATGAGTTGATATAACAATATCATGTCATCACTTTCTACAGCAAGCATGTGTACTACTATCACTTGTTTATGTAACATATCATTGCTTTCAGCCTACTTCTCAATGATATGTGTTGACGATTAATAAGTTAATTGTTTTCATCCAACTAGGATACGTTTTGTCTTAAAATAAAACGTTCGTATCAAAGTACTTAAAAAATAAAATAGTAACCAAACTGACTATTTAATGTGATAAACCTTAGAAGTGAATTTTAACGTTATGTATTAATAAAACATCCTTAAAATTTCATTTTCTACGCACGTCTATAAAAAATTGATTGACCTCGTCGTTATTATTGTTAGGATTATCGTAAAAATAAAAATCTAAAGTACATCTAAAGTTAATTTTACATACCTAAAAAAAATTTCGTTAAAAATATGTGTCTAACTTTTTTTACGTTACACTTTTAGGTGTTTGCCGTTAACTTTGACTGTTAAGTGCCACATGTTCAGTCATTGAGTGTTCGGGCGGTCGCACGTCATCGAGTTTTCGATCGATTGGTGGTGGTTGTAACAACTGGAGGTGGTGGTGAGGGGATTGAAATTTATTTTTTTTAATTTAAAAAAATGGATTCTTTTTAAAAACACTAATTTTAAATATTCTTTTTAAATATAAAAAATTAAAATTTTCATATAGCTAATACGTGTCACTTAATAATTGAATTTAACGGCGTATACGGTCCAAGTACTTAAAAGTGTAACGCTAGAAACGTTAGACACATATTTTTAACGGAAAATTCTTTAGACACGTAAAGTTAACTTTGGATATTGTTTCTAGGGGGTGATCGTTCGATCGAGTCAAGTCGAGTTAAAAAATTTCGAGTTATTCGAGTTTACGAGTCCTATTTTACAACTCGGAGTTGACTTGAAATTTTCTCGAGTCAAATCGAGTAGATTTTTCGAGTTTCTGTTTAAATTTAATTGTGAATATTTATAATATTACTTTGTTCCTATTTAAGTGATTTTCTATAACCATATATACAATACAAATATGTTTCTTCATATTTTTTTTTCATATGTGATATACATATATCATACAAAGTCGAATGACTCGACTCAAACTTGAAAATAAATCGACTAGTTACTAAAAATTTGGAGTTATTCGAGTTGCATATTACAACTCGGTTTGAACTCGAAGTCAATTCGAGTCGAGCTTTTTCGATTCGAATCGAGTAGAAAAAATTGGTTTTCCGAATCGAGTCGAGTTTTGTTAACCCTAATTGTTTCTACCTTATTTTTACATTAAGGCTTATCATTAAGTAAACATGCATGTGACACAAAGCTTGATAAGAGGAAGTGCCCAATGATAAAGCAATCGTAAGCAGAATGACCTCATTGAAACCCATCTTTCCTTTAGCCAAAAAGTATCCCAATGATCCACCTTCACCATCCGAAGTTTCTCATAAGCACGTGAAAACAATTTTTGTCTATGGATTCTTTCATGTTCAGTAATTCTACTTTCTTTCAATCTATATAAATCCCCACTAACACATCAGCCATGCAATAACAGAACTAGCTTGAGCGTCAAGTTTGGCAATGGAGGGTAACTTTAAGGGCAAGGATGACAAGCAAGTCGGAAGATCAGTCGAGACTAGTCGATACCGAGGCGTACGTACCCGGCCTTGGGGGACATTCGGGGCGGAGATACGAGATCCTAAAGCAGGGAGCTCTGTTTGGCTTGGAACATTTAACACCGCCGAGGAGGCTGCTCGAGCCTATGATAGAGCCGCTTATGCCATGAGAGGTCACTATGCTATTCTTAATTTCCCGCATGAGTACCCCATGGCTAATGGCGTTGCCGCCTATAATGCTTACTGTCGTTCGTCTTCCGTCGGTTCCTCGTCCTCTTCTTCGTCAACGATGGGCAAAGAGGTGTTCGAAATCGAGTGTTTGGATGATAAGCTGCTTGAAGAACTGCTTGAAATCGAAGAGAAGAAGGGCAAGAAGAAATGAAATTAACAATGGCGGGCAACAATAAGAAACCTGATGTTTCATAAACTTCTTAATCTAAGTATACCGTTATAAAATGATAAACTTACTAGTGAAAAAAAATGTTATTATCACGATTATGAATAATAATAGTGACTACTTAATATGTTATAAGCATTACATCGTTTCTTGTTTAAAAAATAAAAGGTGATGTCAATTCCAGTATTTTATTAGCGACCAAATATTCACTTTCATTATGATAAAAGTAATTGTAGCCATAAATCACAAATTAATACTAGTGACAAAAACAATTATCATCATAAATTACTAATTAAGAATAGTGACAATATTTCGTCACGATAATAAATAATGATTTATAGTCACTATTACAATTTTTCACGAAAAATAAGTTTGCACCAATTCGATTATTCTATTAGTGACTAATTGATAAAGACGATTTACTTTGGCCATAATAAAACACTATTAGTGACGAATTATTTGTAGCGAACTTCAAAGTGTCACAATTATTATCTAAAGAGTGAAAAATAAAAATAAAGTCTCAATTACTCATTTTAAAAGTGACAAAAATAATTTTTGTCATAATAACATTTTATGCTACGAAATCCTTTAATGTCATAATTAAATTATCACTAAAAATCTTAATTCTGGTAGTGTTTACGAATTACAACTCAGTTTCAGATCAAATATTAATTAGTATTTTTATTAAAAGAGTTACAGACTCAATCGTCTGACGTTAAGAAGATGATATGTGATGATGATACAAATAACTGTCTGGTCTACAAAATATTTCAGAATCTTCTTTAATATTGACCTTCTATATATCATTGTGCATGTGACCAAATGGCAAAGGTGCTTAGGTATATGCAAAGCAAAGGCCAGAGAGAATAAAACGTTGGGGATTACAATTTAAAGGCTTCTTGAAAGTAGCTCTCCCTCTCTCTTCAACTATGAGTATCCTCCAAGTAGATACAAGTAAAGATTAATCTAAATGTTCGAAGTCTTCGTCCTGATTAATTTAGATTGACTCAAGTCACACACCTGATTTTAGTGGGTGAGTCTCTTAGCGGAGATTTTATGCATACACAAGGACTCGAATTCAAGACCTACTTAAACGAAATCAAGCTACTTACCACTTGAACCAACCCGTTGGTTAAAAGTTCCCTTTTTATAACACACTTGCATACATCTACAAGACGTTTTGTCCAAAGTTTTCAAATTAATATAAGAGTTAATTATATTATATATACTCAAAATATGACTCTTATTTTAAATTAGTTCTTAAACTTTTAAAAGCTTCAATTTCATCTCTAAACTATGTCTATCATTCTAAATTAGTCCTCAAACTTTTGAGCATTTCAATTTCATCCCCAAAACTATGACCTTCATTCTAAATTGTTCCGTAAACTTTTTTGAACTTTCCAATTTTATCCCAAACTATACATATACATTAATCACATCCCTTGTTAATAAAATTGTTAGACCAAGTTATGTTATTATATGTTTAAAAAACAAAATTTAGGTTAAACTATGGTTGAAACTAATTACATTTTGGATGAATTCGGGAATGAAACTAGAATATTCAAAAGTTTAGGGATCAATTTAGAAAGAGGGTCATATTTTAAGGATGAAATTAGAATATTCAAAAGTTTAAGGACTAATTTACAATAAGAGTCAAAATTTAAGGATAAAATTGGAATATTCATAATTAACTCTTAATATAATATTAATTTAACTTTGACTTCCTCCAATTTCCTTTTTCCCCTTCATCTTTAGTTATTTCTAAAGTTTGAACCAAGACTGATTTATAATATTTTTATCACTAAGACATTAAATGTTGTTAATTTGATATCATGATATATTAATAAAAATGATTATTTTTAAATTTTTTACAAGATATCAATTTAATTATTGAATCCGACTAAAATTTAAGTTGTTGGTAATTGTTCACCATCGTCTTCGGTCACTGTCTGTGATGGGAGATTTTGGTAAAATAAAGGGATTAAATTAACATTTTATCCAAAATTTAAGAATTAAATTAATATTTTATCTAAATTTTAGAAATCACATTAAAAATTAATCGTTTTTATTAACATGTCACGTTATCAACTAAAATATTCCTTTAACCAGCGGGGAATAACATTTTTAACCGTACATATTGTGATTATAATAAGTTTAATTATTTTTCATGTAAAAAAGTATAAAAATGAGTATTGTGATTATAATTAAGACGGGGAATGTGCTTTTTTTTGCCCTCCCAGTTCTTAAGGTGGATGAGTCTCTCGTGAATTTTTTTTGTACTCACAGAGACTCGAATTCGAGATCTGCTTAAATAATATTAAATTGATTACAACTTGAATCAACCCGTAGGTAGGAAAAAATGTGTTTTGATTATATATGAAACGAGAAAATCAAGAAAGACTTTCAATATACTTAGATTAAGAAGCTAATTAAACAGCAGGGTTCTTATTGTAGCCCACCATTGTTAACATCATCTCTTCTTGCTCTTCCTCTCTTTGATTTCAAGCAGATTATCATCCAAATACTCGATTTCGAACACCTCTTTCACCTTCGTTGACGATGAAGAGGACAATAAACCGACGAAAGACGAACGACAGTAAGCATTATAAGTGGCAACGCCATTAGCCATGGGGTACTATATGAAAGAATCCATGGACAAAAATTGTTTCCCAATGACATTAAGAAGTTGATATATGGACCATGGTCATGATATAAAGAAGTGTTTGATCTACATATATTCAGAATCTTCTTTAAAATTTAGGGTAAAGTACACAAATGATCCCCCGTCTATATGATACTATTTTATTAAGTCCATTGACTATTAAAAGTTATAAAATGGTCCTCAGACTATCTAGTATTGCTTTGTTTAGACCCTCGACTATTAAAAGTTACAAAATAGTTATCCAACTATTCATCATGTTCCAAACTTGTCGTTTTCCGTTAAACAATTGACGATATTATGAATTAAACATTAACCTGCTGACTATGATACGATAAAATCTGATCTCATAATCTCAAATGATTATCATATCTCAATCATCATGTTAACGCCCATCTTAGACAATCGTCAATTTTTTAACGGAAAAGGATGAGTTTGGAACATAATGAATAGTCGAGTGACCATTTTGTAACTTTTAATAGTCGAAGGACTTAACAAAGCAACATATGTAGTCAGAGGACCATTTTGTAACTTTCAATAGTCGAGGAACTTAACAAAGTAATACCCTATAGTCGAGAGACCATTTATGTACTTTACCCTAAAATTTATCTTCTATCAATGTGCATGACCATGTGAGAGAAAATTGCAAAGGTGGTGACATATATGTACACCAAAGGCCAAGAGAATCAAAGGTCGGATATATATATATATATATATATCCTAGTTGAAGGATGATGAAGTAAAAAGATATAAAATTCTTATTCTTATACTCGCAATTAAGTACAAGCGTAATTAATAAAATGCCCTACAACATTCAATTTTCACGTTTGATTTACATTAAAAATGTGAATCAACTTTTCTAGATCACAAATCTGCATATATTCATAATTTCTACAAGATTTAGCCGTTAAAAACAAAATACAAAAATAAAAAGTGATACCACGTATTCTTAAAATCCTTATGGCTCAAGGGTCCTGACCCCTGTTAAAATTTGTATATTCGGTATAATTTTGGTTTAATAGTATTTTGGAACATGTAAAAATAAATATTTAAATTTTAAGAATATAAAAATTTATTAAATATTTAATCAAGTAGTGGTCGAACTAAAGAATTATAAGTATGTGTTCTCAAAATTTTAGTCTAATTACAATTTAGGTCATTGTAAGTTTAAATATTAGACAAATTAGAAGTTGTCTTGTGAATTTTGAGTTTTTTTTATTATAAATTTAAGGTGAATACAAGGTAGTATATGTATAAAGACTTTCAATTATTTGACAATGAATGCTCATACCCCTACATACGCAGTGCTTGAACTCGGGACCTCAAGGATAACAACAATCCCCTTAATCAATAAGGTCACTTGTTCATGCTGAATTTCGAGTTTAAATATCTAATAAGTCTTTATATTTTTCTTAAATAATCTAATATTTCCGCCCATGTCAATATTTAATTTTGGCTCCATCCCTAAATATATATATAAAGGTAAACTACATAAATGATTATTAAAATACGAGTAAGTTTATATTTAACTGGCAAGAAGAAAGGTAAACTATGAGAAGATTTCAATTTCGAGTTTAAATATCTAATAAGTCTTTATATTTAACTATTTAAATGATATCAATCAAGCCACATGACGTTAACATTTGACAAAAAAGTAGACGTGAAATTAATAACATTAATATAACTACACATTTGATCCTCGATACTTACATATTCTATCAAATCAATCTTAATTTTAATTTAATAAATTAAAATCAAAGAACCTTTCGGTTTCATTTTAAATAATGATTTGAAGAGACATGATATAATGTTAATTATCGTTTATGTCATATCATATTATTACATAGAACACACAAGTGTTGTGACAAGCAACAAATTTTTAACAATTTTATTAATAGGGATATAATTAGTATATGCTGATAATTTGAGGATGAAATTGAAATGTTCAAAAATTCAGGAATTAACTTAAAAGACGAGAATATAACTTAGATAGTGAAACAATGATAATAATGGACCACATCTATAAATAGTGTTCACATTATTTATAATTTAGATGGTGACAATATATTCCCAGGTACATTACAAAATAAAGTGCTTTAATTAGTTATCAAAAGAGAAAATAAAGGAAGACTTTCAAGATACTTGACCCAATGGGACAGTCTGCTTATTTTCGGCCCCAGGGAAGATTGTCACCATTGTTAACTTCATGTCTTCTTGCTCTTTTTCTCTCCAATTTCAAGAAGTTCTTCAAGAAAATTATCATCCAAACACTCGATCTCGAAAACTTGTTTTCCTCTCTCCGTCGAAGAAGTCGACGACGAACCGGCGGAAGATGAACGTCGATAGGCATTAGCGGCGGCGAAATTACCCATGGGATACTCGTGCGGGAAATTAAGAATCGCCAAGTGACCTCTCATGGCATAAGCAGCTCTATCGTAAGCTCGGGCAGCATCCTCGGCGGTGTTAAACGTCCCGAGCCAGACACGAGCCCCCTGTCGGTTGGAGTCGCGTATCTCGGCCGCGAACTTCCCCCAAGGCCGCCTACGTACCCCCCGGTACCGAGTCGTCTCGCCGGTAGAATTAACCTCCATCGCGGAATTCGAAGGTCGGTTTTCGTATCGTCTGCATGGCCGTGGGTGGAAATTGCATTTTATATGGATCGGAAAGGAAGTGGAATCTTTAAGGTTAGGCAGGCATTTTGGGGGTCCCTACGGAATTAAACACATGAAGGAATTCATGGCCAAAAGCTGTTCACACGTGCTTATCAGAAACTTCGATTAAGCTTTAAAGTGGTCTTTTCTATTCAATGTATCGGGATGGTCAAGATGGATGGCTATGGAGGTTTTAGCTACACTTTGATTCCATTCGTACAGTGTTTATGTGAATAAAAGTTGATGGCTTAATGTCAAAAGAATTTGTCAACTTCATTACACGTGAGATAGGGTCTCCATGAGGTCATTCGGCTTACGATTGCTTTTCTCTATTTTGTGCTTCCTTTGATAGAGAGATTAATTCAAACTCTTCTGATTCGAGTTCGAGTTCGAATTTTATCCTACGTATTATTGGGGGTAAAGTATATAAATGGTCCCTCGACTATAGGGTATTATTCTGTTGAGTCATTCGACTATTAAAAGTTACAAAATGGTCCCTCAACTATAGAACATTGCTTTGTTGAGTCCATTGACTATTAAAAGTTACAGAATGGTCACCCAACTATTCATTATGTTCCAAATCCGTCCTTTTCCGTTAAAAATGTAACTATCGTCTGAGATGGACGTTAACATGCTGACTAAGATATGATAGTTGTTTGAGATTATGATATCATATTTTATCATATCTAAGTCAACCGATCAACATCTAGCTCAAACTGTCATTGTTTTTTAACAGAAAATGACAAATTTGGAATATAATGAATAGTCTAATGATCATTTTGTAACTTTTAATGATAGAGGGACTCAACAAAGCAACATCTATAGTCGGAGGACCATTTTATAACTTTTAATAATCATGTACTCAACAAATTAATATCCTATAGTCGGAGGCCATTTGTATACTTTACCCTTTAATTTTTAAGTCTAGGTTTATCATTTGTATTTTGGTTATTACTCTATCCGGTTGTATAATATGTTAATTAGGATAAATTATAAATTTCTTACTTTTAGTTTAGATACTAAAGTTTTAAATTTTTTAATTTACTCATTAAACTTTTAATTTTCTCAAATTTTAGTTATTTGGGCGTTAAATCATAAATGGAAGGATGACATGGCAGCACATATATTAATATGGATTACTTTTTATATAGAATTCATGTGTCATCCATAACTTTTTCCCTTTTTTTTTCTTTTTATCTTCTTCCTATGAAGATGAAAGTTTTATAATTTCATCCTTGTATCACGTTCTCACTGCAATTATCATTCTCCAACATCTTCTCCGACCACTCAAGATACAAACGAACTCTGCTCGTCGTCTCCTATCACTCTATTTGTTTAGATTTTCTCAAAATCACTTTAAAACTCATAAAACGTAACCTCAAATCCAAAACTCATAGAACCTTAAAGCACCATGACCTAAATATCCATCATTCGATTAGTGTGGAATCAATATATAAAATCAAAGACTATCATGATAAATTTACTTTTTGTAGGTTCGAAAATGAGGGACCTGATAATATAATTTAGTGTAGGAATCTGAATTTTGGTAATAAAAGCTAAGTTGGGGAAGCTGCGGGCGCCAATTGTTTGATTAATCACTTTTAATTATAATTATTATAAATGATTAGGTCAAACTTCTGGAAAATGGATGAATATGGACTTAATTGTAAAGAATATAATTAGTGGTAAAGAATATAAATTCTTTTGAAATATTAGGTTCGATTCTTATTGTACGTGAGTTTAGTTAATTATTTAGTTATTTTTGTGATGATATGGGAGTATAATAGTTTTAAAAGCAATTTATATTATTAGTCGTTGAATTTTTAAAGTGTTTTATATTTTGATCATCGAAATTTAACTTTTTTTTATTTGAATTTTTTATTGTTGGAAAATATTCTTATTCGATTACTGGCATTAATGACAATCGATATGACATGCTTACATACTTAATGACAGTTAAATTAATATGATATATGCAAATTTTTTTATTAAATTAAAATTTCTCGATAAGCTTAGAATATATTTCATTGTCTTATTGGTAAATAAAAACTGAGAAACATATTTCATATTTAATATATTTTCATGAAAAAAACATAATTAATTATAATCATAATTTAACCTAAATATAATTTTCGTCAATCACACAACAATTGGTTTGGTGCAAAACATTGAATCATGTTCTCTCTGAGTGGAAATTAACCATTCTCTCTCTAAAGTAACTGTTTTTCTCGATAGCTGATTGCGTGTAAATGTGTGTGTTGTGGCACGAAAATCTGTGCAAGTATACACAATCAATGCAAGTAATACAATAGTGAGTGAGTATCGTCTCCATAGGGATTGGAGGAATTCTTTAAAGATTGCTACAACTAGGAATAAACATCACTAACTAATCCTAAGCGTCTAAATCTAATGATATAAACAAATGAGAAATGTGCTATGGTAGATGGTATGAACATATGGAAAAAGTTTGTTGAGGCAAAAATGTGTGAAGTGAAATGAGAAGATAATTTTTGTCGTGGCAAGAAAAATATGCAAGAGTAAACAAATAAAAATTGATAAGGCAAAAATTAATTGAATGAACAAGTAAATTAAAGTTGCTAAGGAAAAAAATGTTTGAGTTCTGAATAAAGACTAGCAACCTCACACAATCAGACTTCTAATGGAGCACTTGGGTTAGATTTGCTATGGCAAGAAATTATTCTATGCATATGATGAACTAAGCATGTTGTGTCTATACTGCTTAACAGGATTTACTAAAGTGTTCCTAAGCTATCTCTAGTAAGGAACCTAATATAACTATTGCCACAACAATACCTCTCAGCGTAAACAATGACCCTAGCCTATCGATTAAGTACTATCCCTTTTAGTCGCTTGAAACCCTCTCCTTATCTCTAAGGCAGATTAGAACCTCACCATCCCGGATTAGTTCCCTTGTTCACGTTGATCTAACCTAACCATCTCGATATTAGGTATCAACTCCTTGAAAACGACTATCTTTCAACAGATCTTACAAAGACTAGGAATATTATGCCAAGGAACCAGGTAATCTCTCAAAAGCTCTTACAATGCTAAGGCATAAGATTAAAACATTAATCAAAACAACAATAAACATAAATATACTTATCGTCCATTAAACATAAAATAAATTATCAGCCAAACATTTACAACACCAAATAAAACAGTTCATGGTGTGGCTAAAATCATCCCAAAATATTCATTAAGTGCAAGCCCTTAAAAAGATAAGAAATGAAGAACAAAGAGAAGGAAACTCCCAAAAACATAGCTTTATCGTGACATCAGACCATCACCAAGACTGCTCAAGTGCGATAGCCTCTCTCGAGGGCCTAGCCGCTACTCCGGCAAAGCCCCGGCTATGGAGGACACCAAGGAAGATGAGAGGGGAACAATGGAGAAGTTGATGCAACGGTCGTTTCCAAATCTTTTAGGGTAGGTGAGAGTTTAGATCTCTAAAATGGTGTTCATAATGTGCTATTTATAGTGGGGAATTTCTTGGGTTTAGTGCCCTTGAAATTTCTCCAACTACCCTTGAATTTATACCCATTTCGTGAATAATATGGCAGCTGGCAGTGGTCCTAAATCCTTGGCAGGGGCAGAGATTCATGTGAGGTGCAATGGACAGATGGCCAAGCGATGTCAGTAATTTTGTCTCGTATTGCGTCAGACTTACAAGATAAAACTTGCCATGGCAAAAAATTATTCCTCACAGTCAACGTCTTCAGTTCCTGTGGCCCTCGCACAAAATTTGTCATAGCAAATAATTTCCTCCTCGGTCATTTCCTATCACCTGCATCATCACAACCAATACACAACCCCTCTCATCAGCAACGTCAGTTTTATAAATAAAAACTAGCCAAGGCAAAACGTTTCCACCTATAAATGTCCTAAATGCAACTATATGCAACTAAAATGCTATGACAATGACTTTTAGATAATCAATAACTTAAGTAAAAATACTGAAAACATAGTCTTTTTACGGAGTTATCACACCCCAAACTTAAGCTATTACTTGTCCTCAAACAATGAATAATGATCAATAAAAAAATAAAATGTTATGGCAAAGTTTTCAATCAGGACATTCAAGTGGTCTAAAATTCCAGCCCTCAGAAAATAGTTTGGCTTCAACATTCTAGACTTATTGAGAAGTTAAGTATCTTTCCCTAGGCCAAGATCATTTACAAGTGTGTGTGCGTGATTGTATCTAGTCTATGCTTAAAGAAATTAGAAAGTCCCTATGTTCTTTTGTTTTGTCAATGCATAAAATTATTCATTAAGCACAAAATTACTCTTATTTATTCAACACTAAAATTTTTGAATTTTTGAATTTTTTTAGCACTGCACAAGGGGAGTCAGTTTATCACAACTATCATCCCACACTCTAGATAAATGAGAGCATACCTTCCATCCCTGAGCTAGTCAGGCAGAGTCATCTCGTGACTACTTGCATTCACTTATGTGCTAAGGCTGACATTGATTCAAAGGGTTTCCAGGCAATGTTGTCAAACAGAGAAGTGTCCCTCTACAGTTATGCCAAGACATTTATTTGCAATTTAACATAATTCAAAATATTGTGGAGTTTAACTTAGCACTTTAAACATTGATATAGCAGTTTAGTTCGGTACCAAAATTTTATGCAAAAGCATGCAAAAGTGATTGGTTATCCTCTTCAGGTGAGGCTTGGTCAGAGGTGTTACGATTTTTGTTGTGGCATTTGTGCAGATGGTTGAACATCATAAAAATGTCATCGTTTGTGCCAACAACAAAATTGAGTCTTCTTTCTTAGTGGGTGCAGAATCCATGAGGGCTTTACACTTGTCCACATGTTTGAAAGTCTATTCATCTAAAAAAACAAATATTAAAAGTAAATAAAGAAATAAAGGAAATAAAAATAAACACACAATAATAAAAAATTGTTATAGCAAAAAATTAAAGAAAGTTGAA